GTTGTTCAGGAAGTTGGCGGTCTTTTCACACCCGTGCAGCGGAAAGCGCGTAAAGCCGTAGGTCCTGCGCCTGATCTCTCTCCAGTCGTGTAGGATTACCGTCCTATCGGACGATGAGATTGAGGGAATAAAGCGAGATTATAATCCTGTTCTGTGCAGCTAGTCTCCGAGACCGCAAAAAATACTTAATAATAAAGATATTGATTAATTTGCAACCTTCCGCTAACTAAATACTTGGAGGTGCTCTTCAATCCAGGTAAGACACATCATTGTATTTGGTTAGCGGAAGGTTGCAAATTAATCAATATCTTTATTATAATGGATTTCCGCAAAGTAACGCCTGATTCTATTAAATACTTAATATTTAAGCAGTGCTGGGTCTGTCCTTTATTGTTGTTCTGAGCCTGCGTCAGAAATCCCACGTTTTTCGTTCGCTACACCTCGATCGTTAGTTGGCAAACGTGCTTGGCATTTGATAAGTGGCCACATTTTGTTCACACCGCAGATGTTTTCAGGTCATATTATGGAGCCATTTGTTACAAAGCATTTGGCATTCCCTTTTATTTTTACGACACCCACGGGACGAGGTGTTCGCTCCACCTTTACGTTTAGTACGTACTATTATTTTTTTATGTTTGCACGTTTACGTTAGGTGAGATCATAATTTCATTAATGATGTATTTCACAAATCACGGCCCTGAGCCACCTGCATCCATCGACTTGCTGCATCTCCTACCAGGTACTCTATCCAGTAAGAGGATAATGATGGCCTACACTTCGCTTACCGGTACGCTGCCATTTGAACCTTTCTTCCGTGTAGTGATAGCGGTGTAAGAATATCGATTACCTACTGCTGCCTATGATCTCCGGTTTCCTTCTGTTGCCTTTTGCGAAACCTTGGAATGATGTGGGCTAGTGGATATTCGTACGTCGCCGCTACACTGTTTAAATGCTATTAGATTTTTAATTTTGTTTATAGAATAAAGGTGACAAACGAGCACACAGTCCACCTGATGGTAAGTGGATGCTGTGGCCCATAGACATCTACATCTATCCTCGAATGCGTTGTCACCCTGAGAACTAAGATGGAATACATCGACTCCAGTAAAACGGGTCGCCAATCTCTATACTAATCATACAAAACACAGCAGCAGCTATTTTACTTGGTATTCTGTGAGAGCGTGGTCCTTCCCCGGTCAAGCCGACCCATTCGTGCTACAACCATAATATAGCTGCAGCGTGGCACTAATACCTAAAAACTTTTGCTACCACGTTTTTGTTAACTAGATTTCTTCCTAATGATTTCTTAAATTTACGCGAACACTACACATTGAATAAAACTATTATTTACGGATTTTATCGCGTTTAATTACTTTAATTTATTTTTATTATTATCCCGACGTTTCGGGTGCTTTACAGCGTCCATGGTCACGGGGGGGGACTGAGATGTTTGATGAAACCAAACCTTCCCAAAGACGAATTTACAGCGCTAAATAACTTACGGAACAGACCAGAACTCACGATTCTCCGCGCGGATAAAGGAAATGCTACGGTAGTAATGGACGCGTCGGAATATAATTTTAAAATACAACAACTTTTATCGGTCGAAAGTAGATATAAAAAGGTCAAAACAGACCCTACAACTAACACGCTTAAAACAACTAGCGATTTAATAAAGAAATACTCCGAAAAATTAAATCTCGACGTGAATTCGCTAATACCAAACCACCGAGGTTGTATGGGTTACCGAAGATACACAAACCAAACGCTCCACTACGTCCCATAGTGAGCCAGATCGATTCACCAACCTATAAGCTGCCACAATACTTAGCAAAAATACTATCACCACTAAGAGGACATACCAGAGCACACACAAAGGATTCATACCATTTTGTGAGTGAGATAAAAGACCTACATCTCGCTAACAATGAAACTATGGTCAGTTTTGATGTTCAGTCACTATTTACATGCCTACCTATTGTGGACTGCATCTCAATTGTAACTAGGAAGCTAGAAGAAAATAACATGCCTCAAGAATATGCAATACTACTTGAACATTGCCTCACATCTGGCTATCTATTGTGGAAGGAGGAGTTCTACAAGCAAGTAGATGGTGTGGCGATGGGCTCACCTGTGTCTCCCATAGTCGCCGACATATTCATGGAGGACTTTGAGGAAAAAGCCCTTCTTACTGCTCCTGTAAATCCAAGGTTCTACAAGCGGTACGTAGACGACACTTTCACAATTTTACCATCTGACAAAGTAACTGCATTTTTAGACCACCTTAACTCCATAAACTCTAAAATGCAATTCACAATGGAGTTAGAGGCAAATAATTCTTTAGCTTTCCTAGATGTTTTAGTCATCCGCAATCCTGATAGCACTATTGGTCACACTGTGTATAGGAAAAAGACCCATACCAACCGATATTTAAATGGTGAATCTCACCATCATCCTTCACAGTTAGCTACCGTGGGTAAATCTTTGTTTCAGAGAGCACGAGGGATCTGTGACAGAAAACATCTGGCCGCGGAGCTTCAGCACGTCAAGCAAGTATTGCAAGACAACAAGCTTCGGGTCCCGCGCCTACGTCACAGTGAACGAGTGAAGCCGGCCACAGTCGAGCGCGCGCCTGCTCTACTACCATATGTTAGAGGAGTCACATACAAGATTGGCTACATCTTGAAGCGAGCGTCCATTAAGACATACTACAAGCCGCTGAAGAAGATTAGTCAATTTTTACCATCCATCAAATGTAATATTCCTTTACAAGATGCAGGTGTGTACAAGCTAGATTGTGAATGTGGTCTCTCTTACATAGGTCAAACAAAGAGATCTATAAAAACCCGCGTGAAGGAACATATAGCTGATGTGAAGCACCGACGCTCCGGGAAGTCTGCAGTCTGCGAACATGTTCAAGATCGTTCCCACCATTACATTAGATTTGATAAACCACAAATTCTCGCAAAAGAACACCGATTCCTACCAAGGATGATACGCGAGGCTATTGAAATTAAAAAACATCCAAATTTCGATAGAGAAGATGGTTGGGTGCTACCATCTGCTTGGGATCCTATAATTAACAAAATTAAACCCAAACCCAAGCATACCACTGCAAGACTTCATGATACTATAAGCTCGTTTTGCGTAAATCGGACCAAAAATTAATATTAAAAAACTGAAGGTAGCCGGACTAACTATGACATTGGGACGTCAAACATCTCAGTCCCCCCCGTTACCATGGGCGCTGTAAAGCACCCGAAACGTCGGGATAATAATAAAAATAAATTAAAGTAATTAAACGCGATAAAATCCGTAAATAATAGTTTTATTCAATAGATTTCTTCCTGTTTGTCTGATCAGAGCGTCACGCCTGTAGTCCCCGAGGGGTAGGTAAAGTCCAAAATGCAGCAAGCATTTTGCACAAGCTGTAGCTTGCTCCACTGCAATGACTCCACGTGTGGGCATAAAATGGGCTTAGACTGTAAATTGTGAAAAAAGTGATAAATGGACGAAGAGAAGAATTGACAGGCACATCCTATTTTATTATTTGTTAGTTTGGCAGTCCGGTACAAATTTTGTATTTGATTTTAAACTAACTTCTCCGTCAGAATTGAAACTTTCAGTGTAGCTTGGAAGTACATAGATGCGATATAAGCTCACTTTCCTGTCAGACTGTTTTTTTTATTTGCTCGGTACGAATTTTGCAATCGCTTTTAAAGTAATTTTCGGATAAGCTAGAGACGTCAACCTTAAACTATAGCACAGAAGTAAACAAGGTAAAATGATTTCCACATTGAATAATATTTTTGACATGACATTTTAATATAAATCAGAACTGATGACGTGGTAAAAATGGTCGCCATTTTGTATTATATTTCTTCTTATTCGTGGTAGAGCCAAGCTGCAGCTATATTACGGTTGTAGCACGAGTGGGTCGCCTCGACCAGGGAATGACCACGCTCTCACAGAATACCAGCGTAAAATAGCAGCTTAAGGCATCTTTTCCATTACACGGTTGTTCAAACGTACGGTGTGTAAGCCGTACGGTTGAAAAAACGTGCTAGCTTGTACATGATACGGCAAAATCACCGCGCGAGACATTGGTAAGTACTGGCTAGTAGCGCTTTTTACTCGGGCTGTGTAGGACGTGCTGCGTCATGAATTTTCTTACGAAAAAAAAGATTATAGTTGCTTATTACATATATAGGAAAAAGAAAATAGAAAAAAAAAGGGAAGTAAGGTTTTGGATACATCCGATTTTAGAAAAAAGGGAGGAATATGGCGCGTTTCATACACTTGTCAAGAATCAATTGAGAGAAGATGAAGACAAGTTTTACAATTATTTTAGAATGCAGAAAACTACATTCGACAACTTGCTCCAAAAAATTATCCCAGGAACTAAAACATCAAGATACTTTTATGCGAGAGAGTATATCGCCCGCAGAAAGATTGGCTGTAACTCTGAGGTAAGTAGGTACAAAATTAAATGACATATTTTAGTTTAAAATTGTTTATTGCACACAAACAAAATTATTACATGTAATTGAATTTTAATAATTATTAATTTAAGAACAAGTAAATCAAAAAATACACTACGCTGAAAATGCTACTCAAGTGCGGTACTAAAATCGAATTCGTCTTCAATAGAAACTTGAGAATCTGCCGAGATACTTTCCGCATTTACACTATGTACAGATAATTGTGATTCGGGTCGGTAGTGGATTGGCTCTAAACCAGAACCGTGTCCAAAATCATGAGAAGACGTCTGTGGACGACTTATTCCATAGCTCGATCTAGCAGCTGTAGAATATCCATATGTTGACGATTGCGCATTTGAGGATGCTGTACCACTTAAATATCCTTGATGGCCTTGATCCCATTGGTTTCTTGATGTAGGTATATACTGAGTACACTGTCTTTGTTGAATATTTTTAATTATTGAAATTACTTGAAACTGAAAGTCTATCATATTTTCATCACTGAACTTGTCAACTGTATCAGCGATTCCCATAAAAAAAGTTCATACTACGGCTTTTCTTTTTCTCATCTCGTTCTGCTGAATCCATAAACTTCATAAACCTAATGTCAACTTCACTTAGTTCATTTTTTCTTTTTTTTTTAGCCCTTTGCGTCTCACTCCGTTCAGTGTATCCCGAGCTTGATTGATTCGGGACTGCACTATCAAAATTTTCATTACTGAGGCTAGAATCATGAACATGTTCAGTCATGTTAGAATCGGTCTTGCGATGCTCAACATTTTTTTTTAGGAACATCATTTCATCATAGAACATATATTTTCTTATTTTTTTTGCTGAAGAACCAGACTTACATTCATTAATTTTTTTGTCATATTTTATCCAGCTATCTTTCATATTGGTCCACTTCTTCATCACCATTTGCCCTGAAAATAAATAAATAATAATTATTAAATTCAAAATTTATGAAAACCCCCGACCTAAACTGAATCGACCCCGACCTAAAATGGGGTTTTAGTATTTGAACCTGAACCGTTTTGTTTTATATTTCAGGTATCTAGCAACAGGAGATACCTTTACTGACCTATACTACAGCTATAGAATTGGAATAAAAACCATAAGTTGCATCGTACGTGAAGTATGCCACTACATTTGGTTAGAACTGTATAAAGAATATATGAAAATGCCATCTAAAGAAGACTGGCTACACATTGCAAGCAAATTTCAAGAATCTTCCAACTTCCCGCTGTGCTTAGGAGCGGTCGATGGAAAACACATCAGACTTATTAAGCCAATTGATAGTGGCTCGATGTTTTTAAATTACAAACATTTTTTTTCTATAGTTTTGATGGCAGTAGTAGATAGCGATTACAACTTTATATTTGTTGACGTTGGCGCCTACGGAAAGGAGTGTGATTCCAGTGTGTTTAAAGAGAACCCATTTTGGAAAAATTTAACAAACAACGGATTAAATCTACCCGATGCAACACGTTTGCCTGGAATTGACTACGATTTGCCATATGTGTTCGTTGCGGACGAAGCCTTTGCTTTGCATTATCACTTGCTTCGTCCATTTGGTGGTCATCAGCTTGATCAATTAAAACGTACATTTAACTACAGACTCACAAGAGCGCGAAGATTTGTTGAATGTGCGTTTGGCATTTTATCCAATAAATGGCGAATTTTTCACCGGCCAATGAATGTGTCCATCGATTTGGCAGTTGATATTGTGAAAACATGTTGTGTTTTGCAAAATTTTATACATAAGCAGGAAAACTTTCAGTTTCACAATGCGAGTGAAAATGAGTCCACCCTTGATTCAGAATCGGAACTAATCCAGTTACCTATCACGAATGCAGTTCGCGGAAGTTTGGCGGCTAATGAAGTTCGCAACAGATTTGCACAATATTTTGTATCTAACGAAGGTCGCCTCTCCTATCAAAACAACTATGCATAAGTAAAAAGTTAATAATTAAATATCTGTAACTTACCAAACTTGTTTTTCTCATCACCACTTAAATCTTCAAATGTGGGCTGGAAATGAATAAATATTTCTTTCCAGGAATCATATTTAAGCCGCTTATTTTTATAATCGTCGATGGTCTTATCCCATATTACAGGCCTTTCTTGAATCAACGTAATTAATAATTCTTGATTTATGTTCATTTTATAATAAAATCGCGAAACAGCGTATATAAGCGGTCACGAATCCGTGCGTACGTCCGGCACCGTCGACACACCCCGATAGACTGCCATACAACACTGGTGAAAATCACGCCGTGCGTAGACGCGGCGCGCCGAGGGGCAGTCACGGCGCACGCGGCCGCGGCGCCGTGCCTTGGCGCCACCGTGCATGTCGACAAGCTCATATAGTGATCCATACCACACTGACGACCGTGCCTACACGCGGCGAATTAACCGTAGATTTTCACGGCGAGAAACCGTGTAATGGAAAAGAGGCCTAATACTGCTGTGTTTCGTATGGTGAGTGTGGAAATCCGGAGACCCTTTATTACTGGGAACGAGGCATTCCATCTTAGTCCTCAGGGGTGCCAACGCATCTGCGTTTTGATTCTTAATCGAGGATTTCCATAAAAAAAAAATTGAATTTACTGTTTAATATAACTCCGAACTGATGACGTGGTAAAAATGGTCGCCATTTTGAATTATATTTTTAGCATTAAATTTCCATTGAAACCTTTTTTTTACCTAGAGCATATTATATACTCTGCCGTCACTACCGTTTTCAAGTAAGCTTAAATAAACTAAACACACTGAACATTCCGTTACTCATAATTGACGTCTAAATTGATACTAATTGATAGTGGTATTTAGAATTGTGGAATATAACGAACTGTTTCAAATTGGGTCATGTTACCGGCAGGGTTGACACGTTGTATTTAAACACATCAGCATTCGAGCTAGTCACAAACGCACCCTTGAATAAACCTTATACTTGTACTATTCGTGGACTTTCGGATGTTGTGTGAGGTGTTGACTACATTGCGCTTGCAAAGCCGTCTTTTTATAAGTAGAATAAGGGCGACAAAACATCTACATCTATATTCAATTAAGACTCAAAATGCAGATGCGTTGTCACCCTATAGGACTATGGTATTCCATAGAATCTTTTTAAACGAGGAATGCCTGCAACTATATTATAGTTGTAAGTACGAATGAATCGGCTCGATCGGGGTAGGACCACGCTCTCACAGAATACCAACGTATAAGAACACAACGCATGGAGCTGCTATTTTAGCAGCTCCATGCTGTTGTGTTTCGCATGGTGAGTGTAGAGAACCGGAGACTCTTTTTACTGGAAACGAGGCATTTCATCTTAGTCCTCAATCCTCATGGGTGACAACGCATTTGAATGTTGATTATTAATCGGAAATAGATGTAGATGTCTATGGGCCATAGAATCCACTTACCAACAGGTGAACTGCGTGCTCTTTTGTCACCCTATGAGTCTCCGGTTTACTGCACTCACCTTACAAAACACAGCAGGGTATTTTGTGAGAGCGTGAATAGTCTGAATATTTTTCATCGTGAAATTTGGCTGACCGAACCCTAGTCAGTAAGAAATCCTACCGCCTAATAATCTCTCTTGACTCCTTTATTTACTTTTTGAGGAAATACTAAAAAGTTGTTATGGATTCCCATAGATAGCGGTATATAACTCTTGTTTACGCTAGTCATAAAATATCCAGACCGGCGCGGCGGCAGCGAACAACGTCAAAGATGCGATTCGTCTGGTACTAGGGTTGCCAACATTTTTGTAATGTACATTGTGAAGGGCTGTAACGATGATGATTCAAGTCTGGATTAACAGCACATTCCGCACACACACACACACACACACACACACACGCACGCACGCACGCACGCACGCACGCACGCACGCACGCACGCACGCACGCACGCACGCACGCACGCACACCCGCACGCACGCACGCAAGCACGCACACATGCACGTACACACAAACTTTATGGAAGTGACTTGTTACAGAATGAGCAGAATCTCCTAACACGGGTATCTTTTTTACTTAAAAGGAGATTCCGGAAACGGTTACAACTGTACGATTTATGTTACTGAATTAAAGTTGATTTTGTTTTTAATTTATATAGTAGGGTTGCCAACCCTGTTTAGTACAGCGGTCGTCAATTTATTCGCCTGCCAGGCGTGTCGATTCAGGTAAATCCTCCCTACAATCCGAGAGGCTTCATGTCCAGTGTAATTTAATGGACTACTGAAGAACGATATCATATATTTCGGTATTTTTTATATATATCTCCGATCAATAATTGTACACTTAATAGTTTTAATTATTTTGCGGGTAATCATAATTCCTTTTCTAAAATAAAAGTAGCCTAAGTTACTCCTTAACTCCTTATAAAATCAGCTATCTGATCCCGTCAAAATTGGTCAACCCATTTCGGCGGTTAGCCGCAAAAACAGACGTACAAAAATTTCCAATTTTTTTTTGTTATAAGTAATGTATATACTTTCATATGCATTTAGTAAAAAGCTGTTATTTCGACATTACCAATAGACACTTCAATTTTATTTATTTGTATAGATCTAGCGTAAATTCGGTGAGGTTCTATGAAATATAGGACAATATTTTTTTGCAATAAAGTTTATATAATATGGAGTCGTAATACGTCCCTTGGATGTCGCAAAAGACGACGAAGGGAAAATCAGAAGACGGACAGCAACGTCTTTTAAAAATATTCTCTAAAAAAAACCGCGGTCGCCTACCCGCCTGCCAAACGTGGTATAACTATTGCAAATATGGCAAACTAGAGGTAGTTCTATGGGGGGTGGGGGGTGGGGGTGGGCAGGTCTTTTTTTCAGCAGTGGAGTGTAATGGTAAGGTTGTCGGCCCTCGTTGCAGTACTCGAAAAGCTTATGTGTTTTGCGTGTTATTGTGAAATTAATTTGCATACTTAGGAACGTGTAAGGCGCTCTTTGACCTGTATCAGTCAAAACAAGTTTAGATTCATTTATTCGTTGGTCGTTTGCGCCACGCGATTTATGCTTTCCTGGTACCTTCGTAGGAAGCACGTGGAATTTGTATCCATAATCTTTTAACATGATCATTATATAATGTATTAGTGATGAATTATTACGAGACCGATACGAATGACATTTTTTTTAAACGTTACCCCCCCCCCACATTAGGATTTTCTCTTTATTCGTGGAGGCAGTTTACAAACATAAATTACACAAGGACTAACATCCAGACCCGAAACAATTATTTGTAGGCCATATAAATACTTGTTAAGTGCGGGATTCGAACCCGCGGCCCCCAACGCAGTAACTCATTGCTAAGCCACTGCGCCACAGAGCCGCTTATGGTTTTTTTCTTTTATTTAAACTTATTTAAATTAAAGGACAAAAAATAGTTTTACTCATTTGTGTGACGTGTACATAATTTATCATTGGAGGTTTTTTCAAAAACACAATTTCTCGCCCTTTAAGCTGGCTTTCCACTATGGAATATAAAACTGATATATCCTCCTTCACACTGTGAGATATATATTTTAACTAGTGTGCGTTCGTCATTGGAGGATCTGAGGACGTAGCGAAGTCGCGGAAGGGTGTGCGGGGTACAGGAAGTGAAATCTAATATGAAAATATCGCTCGGTCGATCGAAAAAATAATTATAGTTTGGGATGTAATATATTATATTATATCTCAGTGGAAACGGTTTCATTTAAAAGTACGGTAAGCGATATTAATTTATATCTCGAGGTGTAATATAAAATATTATATCCCATAGTGGAGAGTGGGTCCTAATCTATTTATTTTATCTTTGTGTTTCATGAAGAAAAAAGGTTGTCAGTGAAAAAATGTATGCACCGTAGTGTATCGTAATAAATACTACAATGATACTGCAGCTATATTTGAATGGGTAGGCTCGACCGGGGCACGACCACATTCTCACGGAATACCAGCGTGAAATAACAGCTCAATGCTGCTGTGTTTCTAATAAATATTCGCCAATACCCGATCATCGCATTGGTATTGACATCACTTGTTAAAACTTATTACGACGAGTAACAGGCGGGCGGGCAAAATCTATTAGATTGATGAGTTAAGATAATTTAGTACGTGGTAGAGCCATGCTACAGTTATATTAGTAGTATAGTTGTAGCATGAATGGGTCGGCTCGATCGGGGAAGGACCACGCTCTCACGAAATATCGGCGTAAAAGTAGATTAATGCTGCTGTTTCGTATGGTGAGTACCGGTAGAGAACCGGAGATCATTTTTACTAAAAACGAGGCATTCCATCTTAGTCCTCAGGGGTGACAACGCATCTGCATTTTGATTCTTAATCGAGGATAAATGTAGATGTCTATGGGTCATGGCGTCCACTTACCATCGGGTGAACTGTGTGCTCGTTTGTCACCCAATGCTATAGAAAAATGGTGACAACTATGGCAAATTTCCCCTATGAGATATTCTATGGGGAAGGCCCGTGCAGTGGACTTTTATAGGCTGTAAATGGTTGGGTTTCGACCATCAATTTTCGACTAACTAAGTACTTAAATAAACAGCCTTTCGGTGCCATTTTGAGAACGTAAATGGAATATCATCTATGATTTTTATCAGTCGATCAGTCACGTTATCGTTTAATGTTTATGACACCGCAAGATAAAATTGGTAATCTGTTATTTTTATATTACTTAACTTTATAGATACCTATATTATAATATACAGTCACCACCTCATTATTTTGTATGATTAAAAAATATTTGAGTAGAGAATTTTCAGCATTTCACGCGAGTGTTTACACACTTCCACCGGTTCACTAGATGTCGCTAGTTAGGCTGAGGTGAAGTATTTTGTTTTATTATTTATTTATAGCATAAGGGTGACAAACGAGCACACAGTCTACCTGATGGTAAGTGGATGGTGTGGCCCATAGACATCTTTATTTATCCTTGATTAAGAATCAAAATGCATATACGTTGTCACCCCTGAGGACTAAAGATGGAATGCCTCGTTTCCAGTAAAACGGGTCCCCAGTTCTCTACACTCACGATACGAAACACAGCAGTATTAAGCGGCTATTTTACGCTCTTATTCTGTGAGAGCGTGGTCCTTCCCCGGTCGAGCCGACCCATTCGTGTTACAACCATAATATAGCTGCAGCG